ATTTCATGAATATGTTTTTGTAAAGGCCCCTCTTTGACTCAGAATAACCCATTAGATGGCCTATCTGTTTATGTGTGCTCAACTTTACAAAAATTACATTTTCGTTATAAATCGAGTGCTAACGTACTTAATTCAAATACGCTTGTTCTCATTTCAAGTTAATGCGTTTATCATTTGAAAGCTATTTACTTATATTGATATTTAATTAATATAGTATTTACTTTTCCATTTAAAACAATTATTTACACACAATTAATATTCATAAAAAAAATTTGTGTATTTTCGACACTCTTGATTTGAAAAAAATTTATTTTTAAGCAATTTCCAGAACATATTTATTCCAGAAGAATATTTCTTTTTTTTTACTTTCATACAAACAACTCAACTCAAGTCTATTTTTAAATAAAATTTTGTGGCACACGCATTTTCTTTTAAAAACTACTATAAGATAATAAATTTTCTATTAAATATGAGTGGGTTGAGAAACATGCTGCGAGTGAGTGAGTGCAGGGATGATTTGATTCTTATGAATAAGAGTTGCCAGCATGTTTTTTTATATAAAAATAAGTTTAAACTTTTACGCTTCATAAATAAATATAGAGATTATCCATTAAAATTTATCATCGTTATAATCTTCAAAAATTTATTAATATTTTCAATATTAATATTTTTTCACACTTCATTAAAAAAATTTACTTTGATCTGGCAGCATTATTCTATACATGTTTTCAAAACATATTTGTAGTTTTAGTAGGCGATTTTATTTTTGTTATTTATTATCTTCATAATGATGTTCACAATCCCCTTATAATGATCATTAATATGTGTATAAACTATAATAAATAATATTTTAATTTAATGTTCATTAAATTTGATCAGAACATATGTTTAACATTTTTTTTTGAATTTACTCGATCATTGTCTTTTTCAAAAATATTTGTGTGAAAAATAAAAAATAAAATTTGCGAAATTTGAAATTTTGGCCTTGTATAGGGTCAATGTGTGTTATATGAGGTGCTTAATCTTTTTCACAAAAAAATACTTAACATTGTGCCAGTTTTTAAGTGAAAATCAAGTACACAATTTATTTTCGAAAATGTGAAATTTTTTTTTTCTCAAACCTGTCATTAGCAGTCAAAATATATTTAGTCTAAATGCTAATAAATAAAAAAAAAATTACATATTGGCAAGAATTGCAAATTAAAATTAATATTTTCTTTTTAACAAAAATTAAAAAAGAAGACAACTGATCTAAAACTGTCAAATACTATATTAATGGCGTCAATGTTTTTGCTTTTAAAACCTTGAACTAAATTTTGTTTTAAACCAAAAGAGACATTTTTTTTGTTTAAATATGTACATCAAAAATAATTATAATAAATAATTAACTGAAATAATTTGTATGTGCTATAAGAGGAGGGGAAATGCTTTTTATAATAACCTTGAAAACGGACATTAATGAATAGATAGAATAGCTGATAGGTCGATAGATAAGTATCTCATATAGGGGGCAGCACTTGTAGACTTTCCTTTTAATTATAAAAAAAAATATTATTAAATTATTATTATTATCCAGATTTAGTCTAATCTATAGTCTAGTATATGGTCTAGTCTATAGTCTAGTCTATAGTCTAGTCTATAGTCTAGTCTATAGTCTAGTTTATAGTCTAGTCTATAGCCTAGTCTATAGTCTAGTTTATAGTCTAGTCTATAGTCTGGTCTATAGTCTAGTCTATAGTCTAGTCTATAGTCTAGTCTATAGTCTAGTCTATAGTCTAGTCTATAGTCTAGTCTATAGTCTAGTCTATAGTCTAGTCTATAGTCTAGTCTATAGTCTAGTCTATAGTCTAGTCTATAGTCTAGTCTATAGTCTAGTCTATAGTCTAGTCTATAGTCTAGTCTATAGTCTAGTCTATAGTCTAGTCTATAGTCAAGTCTATAGTCTAGTCTATAGTCTAGTCTATAGTCTAGTCTATAGTCTAGTCTATAGTCTAGTCTATAGTCTAGTCTAGTCTAGTCTATAGTCTAGTCTATAGTCTAGTCTATAGTCTAGTCTATAGTCTAGTCTATAGTCTAGTCTATAGTCTAGTCTATAGTCTAGTCTATAGTCTAGTCTATAGTCTGGTCTATAGTCTGGTCTATAGTCTAGTCTATAGTCTGGTCTATAGTCTAGGTCTATAGTCTAGTCTATAGTCTGTCTATAGTCTAGTCTATAGTAGTCTATAGTCTAGTCTATAGTCTAGTCTATAGTCTAGTCTATAGTCTAGTCTATAGTCTAGTCTATAGTCTAGTCTATAGTCTAGTCTATAGTCTAGTCTATAGTCTAGTCTATAGTCTAGTCTATAGTCTAGTCTATAGTCTAGTCTATAGTCTAGTCTATAGTCTAGTCTATAGTCTAGTCTATAGTCTAGTCTATAGTCTAGTCTATAGTCTAGTCTATAGTCTAGTCTATAGTCTAGTCTATAGTCTAGTCTATAGTCTAGTCTATAGTCTAGTCTATAGTCTAGTCTATAGTCTAGTCTATAGTCTAGTCTATAGTCTAGTCTATAGTCTAGTCTATAGTCTAGTCTATAGTCTAGTCTATAGTCTAGTCTATAGTCTAGTCTATAGTCTAGTCTATAGTCTAGTCTATAGTCTAGTCTATAGTCTAGTCTATAGTCTAGTCTATAGTCTAGTCTATAGTCTAGTCTGTAGTCTAGTCTATAGTCTAGTCTCTAGTCTAGTCTACAGTCTAGTATATAGTCTAGTCTATAGTCTAGTCTATAGTCTAGTCTATAGTCTAGTCTATAGTCTAGTCTATAGTCTAGTCTATAGTCTGGTCTATAGTCTAGTCTATAGTCTAGTCTATAGTCTAGTCTATAGTCTAGTCTATAGTCTAGTCTATAGTCTAGTCTATAGTCTAGTCTATAGTCTAGTCTATAGTCTTGCCTATAGTCTGGTCTTTAGTCTAGTCTGTAGTCTAGTCTGGTCTATAGTTTGGTTATAGTCTAGTCTATGGTCTATTCTATGGTCTAGTTAATAGTCTAGTCTCTACTCTAGTCTATAGTCTAGTCTCTACTCTAGTCTATAGTCTAGTCTATAGTGTTGTCTACAGTCCAGTTTATAGTCTAGTCTAGTCTATAGTCTGGTCTATAGTTTGGTCGATAGTCTAGTCTATAGTCTGGTCTATAGTCTAGTCTATAGTCTAGTCTATAGTCTGGTCTATAGTCTAGTCTATAGTCTAGTCTATAGACTATTCTATAGACTAGTCTATAGTCTAGTCTATAGTCTAGTCTATAGTCTAGTCTATAGTCTAGTCTATAGTCTAGTCTATAGTCTAGTCTATAGACTATTCTATAGACTAGTCTATAGTCTAGTCTATAGTCTAGTCTATAGTCTAGTCTATAGTCTAGTCTATAGTCTAGTCTATAGTCTAGTCTATAGTCTGGTCTATAGTCTAGTCTATAGTCTAGTCTATACTCTAGTCTATAGTCTAGTCTATAGTCTGGTCTATAATCTAGTCTACAGTCCAGTTTATAGTCTAGTCTATAGTCTAGTCTATAGTCTAGTTTATAGTCTAGTTTATAGTTTAGTTTATAGTCTAGTTTATAGTCTAGTCTATAGTCTAGTCTAGTCTTTAGAGATTTTTTACAAAATCCTCTTTCTATAAGATTTGGGATTTTCGATGATCGCTTTTAAATCAATCGATTTTCGAACAATGAAGTTGAGCTGTTTTGTCATTTTAAAGTTTTTTTCTCTCCAGAGTATAAAACACGAAATAAATAAAATTTTTTATTGCAATACATTTGATATTCTTTCATTTATCGGGGGTGTTTGAAAACCATATGTGTTCATAAATTATAATTTTCTTTATTGTTTTTAACAAAATAATACTTGAGTTTTTTTTTTTGGAAAATTGCCCATTCTGTGAGTGTGTGTGCAAAAGAAATTTTCATTCATTCTATGTTTATGATCACAATATATGAGGTAAACACGTTTATGTTCATTAATTTTTCTTTTTCTTCTACGCAAACATTAAATGTGTGACGTGTATAGCGTCCTCTATAACATTTATAACAACAAATTTATTTAAACAATTAAAAATATGTAAAATATAGCAGAAAAAAAAACAAGCAATACATTTTGTTAAACGAACGCCAAAGAACAAAACCCATAATTTGTTGTAGCGGTTCCGCTATTGGGTTTACCAATGTTTTTGTTGTTTTTCTTTTGTTTATTACAATAATTACGACGAGTTTAAATATAGTAAATAATTATAAACATTATCACAATCAGACGCACATAATTATATGAAAAAATTTATGTAAATGTTATAATATTGATGTGGTTGTTGTTGTTGTTTTTTTTGTTGTAATACTATTATGTAGTTGTTAACGTATTCACTTCATCAACATTTTAACTCACATCAGCTAGTAGTGCAGATACTAAGACATTAGGAGGGTGTCGAAAAAATCGAGTTTATGATCCCTCTAGTTATCAAAAGTTATATAGTATAACAAGTAAGTTATTATAAGACTCATTCTGAGTAATGCTGGCGGTAAGCAGTAATCAACATTAAACTTGTCTTTGTGTAAATCTTAGATTAATAAATCTATCGGTTAATTAACACCATTTCTCTTTAATCGTTAACATTTTTGGAGCCCTCCTAAGGTACCTTTCTATCTAGTTTTTTTTCGTATTTGAAATTTTTGTTGTTTTTTTTTTTTTGTTTTCTATAAACTTTACATTTAATTGGCAAATTGTTTGAAAGAAAAAGTTGTGTAATTGTTGTTTTAGTATTTTAATTAGCCATAAACATACAACGTGCGGCCCTCCTCCATTAGTGGTTTACACATAGGAATTTGATTGCTTTGAACCAAAAAAATTTGAATACTTTTAAAACTGAACATTACTTTTTGAAATATTTCTTTATAAAAAGTAATTTTTATTAATAAATTTTATAAAATGTATCTAATTTTGTATGTTATTAATTTTGTGTTTTTTGCTTTCTTTCTTTACAGAGGAGCAAGAACGTGTTCAAAAGAAAACATTCACTAATTGGATTAATTCATACCTCTTGAAGGTAAGTAAATTTATAGTGGCATAAGTTACAAATACAGGTTGGAGTCATAATTATTTACATAAAATCAAATTTAATTTTTTTTTTATTGCAATTCTTTAAGTTGAACATTTATACAAATGTATAATTTTTTTTATTAAAATGGCAAAGTTGGCTGATTTCTTATGCAACCAATTGACGGATCAGATCTAGGCTGGACCAAGTTCAGTTCTAGTTTAGTTCTAGTTCTGTTTTAGTTCTAGTTCAGTTCTAGTTCAGTTCTAGTTCAGTTCTAGTTCAGTTCTAGTTCAGTTCTAGTTCAGTTCTAGTTCAGTTCTAGTTCAGTTCTAGTTCAGTTCTAGTAGTTCTAGTCAGTCTAGTTCAGTTCTAGTTCAGTTCTAGTTCAGTTCTAGTTCAGTTCTAGTTCAGTTCTAGTTCAGTTTCTAGTTCAGTTCTAGTTCAGTTCTAGTTCAGTTCTAGTTCAGTTCTACGTTCAGTTCTAGTTCAGTTCTAGTTCATTACTAGTTCAAGTTCTAGTTCAGTTCTAGTTCAGTTCTAGTTCAGTTCTAGTTCAGTTCTAGTTCAGTTCTAGTTCAGTTCTAGTTCAGTTCTAGTTCAGTTAGTTCAGTTCTAGTTCAGTTTCTAGTTCAGTTCTAGTCAGTTTTTTCTAGTCAGTTCTAGTTTCAGTTTCTAGTTCAGTTCTTCGAGTTCTTCAGTTCTAGTTCAGTTCTAGTTCAGTTCTAGGTCAGTTCTAGTTCAGTTCTAGTTCAGTCTAGTTCATTCTGTTTCTAGTTCAGTTTCTAGTTCAGTTCTGAGTTCAGTTCTAGTCAGTTCTAGTTCAGTTCTATTCAGTAGTTCAGTTCTAGTTCAGTTCTAGTTCAGTTCTAGTTCAGTTCTAGTTCAGTTCTAGTTCAGTTCTAGTTCAGTTCCTAGTTTCTAGTTTCTAGTTCAGTTCTAGTTCAGTTCTAGTTCAGTTCTAGTTCAGTTCTAGTTCAGTTCTAGTTCAGTTCTAGTTCAGTTCCTAGTTCAGTTCCTAGTTCAGTTCTATTCAGTTCTAGTTCAGTTCTAGTTCAGTTCTAGTTCAGTTTAGTTCAGTTCTAGTTCAGTTCTAGTGTCAGTTTTAGTTCAGTTGTAGTCAGTTGTAGTCAGTTGTAGTTCAGTTGTAGTTCAGTTCTAGTTCAGTTCTAGTTCAGTTCTAGTTCAGTTGTAGTTCAGTTGTAGTTCAGTTGCTAGTTCAGTTCTAGTTCAGTTCAGTTCTAGTTCAGTTCTAGTTCAGTTCTAGTTCAGTTCTAGTTCAGTTCTAGTTCAGTTCTAGTTCAGTTCTAGTTCAGTTCTAGTTCAGTTCTAGTTCAGTTCTAGTTCAGTTCTAGTTCAGTTCTAGTTCAGTTCTAGTTCAGTTCTAGTTCAGTTCTAGTTCAGTTCTAGTTCAGTTCTAGTTCAGTTCTAGTTCAGTTCTAGTTCAGTTCTAGTTCAGTTCTAGTTCAGTTCTAGTTCAGTTCTAGTTCAGTTCTTGTTCAGTTCTAGTTCAGTTCTAGTTCAGTTCTAGTTCAGTTCTAGTTCAGTTCTAGTTCAGTTCTAGTTCAGTTCTAGTTCAGTTCTAGTTCAGTTCTAGTTTCAGTTCTAGTTCAGTTCTAGTTCTAGTTTCAGTTCTAGTTCAGTTCTAGTTCTCTAGTTCAGTTCTAGTTCAGTTCTAGTTCAGTTCTAGTTCAGTTCTAGTTCAGTTCTAGTTCAGTTCTAGTTCAGTTCTAGTTCAGTTCTAGTTCAGTTCTAGTTCAGTTCTAGTTCAGTTCTAGTTCAGTTCTAGTTCATTCTAGTTCAGTTCTAGTTCAGTTCTAGTTCAGTTCTAGTTCAGTTCTAGTTCAGTTCTAGTTCAGTTCTAGTTCAGTTCTAGTTCAGTTCTAGTTCAGTTCTAGTTCAGTTCTAGTTCAGTTCTAGTTCAGTTCGTTCAGTTCTAGTTCAGTTCTAGTTCATGCTAGTTCAGTTCTAGTTCAGTTCTAGTTCAGTTCTAGTTCAGTTCTAGTTCAGTTCTAGTTCAGTTCTAGTTCAGTTCTAGTTCAGTTCTAGTTCAGTTCTAGTTCAGTTCTAGTTCAGTTCTAGTTCAGTTAGTCTAGTTCAGTTCTAGTTCAGTTCTAGTTCAGTTCTAGTTCAGTTCTAGTTCAGTTCTAGTTCAGTTCTAGTTCAGTTCTAGTTCAGTTCTAGTTCAGTTCTAGTTCAGTTCTAGTTCAGTTCTAGTTCAGTTCTAGTTCAGTTCTAGTTCAGTTCTAGTTCAGTTCTAGTTCAGTTCTAGTTCAGTTCTAGTTCAGTTCTAGTTCTAGTTCAGTTCTAGTTCAGTTCTAGTTCAGTTCTAGTTCAGTTCTAGTTCAGTTCTAGTTCAGTTCTAGTTCAGTTCTAGTTCTGTTCTAGTTCTGTTCTAGTTCTGTTCTAGTTCTGTTCTAGATCTGTTCTAGATCTGTTCTTGTTCTGTTCTAGTTCTGTTCTAGTTCAGTTCTAGTTCAGTTCTAGTTCAGTTCTAGTTCTGTTCTAGTTCTGTTTTAGTTCTGTTCTAGTTCTGTTCTAGTTCTGTTCTAGTTCAGTTCTAGTTCAGTTCTAGTTCAGTTCTAGTTCAGTTCTAGTTCAGTTCTAGTTCAGTTCTAGTTCAGTTCTAGTTCAGTTCTAGTTCAGTTCTAGTTCAGTTCTAGTTCAGTTCTAGTTCAGTTCTAGTTCTGTTCTAGTTCTGTTCTAGTTCTGTTCTAGTTCTGTTCTAGTTCTGTTCTAGTTCTGTTCTAGTTCTGTTCTGTTCTGTTCTGTTCTAGTTCTGTTCTTTTCTGTTCTAGTTCTGTTCAATTCAATTCTGTTCTAGTTCTGTTCTAGTTCAGTTGTTGTTCAGTTAATCAATCAATTTGCACCGAAAAACTGTCCCCGATCATGCGAATAACATACAGAATGCATTTTGAAAGTATTAACCTAAATAATTTCTGGGTTAATTTATTGAAGAATTCCTATTATGGAACACCAAGAGAAAATATAGCTATGACTGTTCACAATATCTTATATTTAGCCATTTTATATATTTTTTTCTCAGATAGACAGATACATTTTTGACGTAATTCATTTAAAATAAACAAAAATTATTTTTAATAACCATTTGTTTGGATTTAATTTTTTGTGCAATTTTTCATTATATTTTTTGTAAATATTTATAAAATATGATTCATATAACCCATCAACAAATTAATGTCCATTTGTTCAGATTTTTTCATTCCAAATATAATGAAAATAGAAATTGTTTATTTAAAAATGTATTTTTAAATATTTGCAAAAATAGCCATAAAATATTTTTATAGAAATTATTCACATTACAAAATATTACGTACAAATATATTTTATACATGAAATGAAATTTTTTAGCACATTATCTAAAAGAATTTTTAATTTATGTTTTCCTTTTGACGTTAAAATGCTAAGAATATTTTATAGGTAAAAAAATTGTCAAAATTTTATTTAAATGGACCAAAAGTCAGAATTACGTTTTCTTTAAATTTGCGACAAAATGTTTAACAAAAGGAGCGCCATTAAGTTTTTTTAAACCATCCGATTTAAAATTTGCAATTTTTTGTTTTAATAATTTTTATGGAAATTTTGTTAAAATTTAATTACGTTACTACCCACTTTTTTATAACAAGTTTTTAATTACTTTCAAATATTTAGCCACAATTCTTGGTAAAATTTTTATGATTTTATTCTTCTTCCAAATAAAAAAGGCCGGGAATGGAAAAAAATTCCGGTTTATATTTGTGGCAAAAAGACAAATATTACCGGCCGGCAAAATAACAACGACATAAATTTAAATTTGCAAAAAAAAAAAAAAAAAATTAAGTCTATATTATATCTACATTGAAACACACCTACACAAAAAGAACAGGCATATCAAAATTTAAAATGTTTTATAAACATGATTTTTTTTACAAATATACGAGGGTTAAATGGAAAATTTATGGTAAAAGCACATGGAAGAAGCATTTAATGGAAAATCGTATTTGTACTGAAAAAAGTACTACTAATGATGTGATGTTTAATAAAAATTGGGTGTTTTAATGAGAATTTTGAATGAAAAATCGTATTTCTAAAATCGGCTTTTTATTAAGAGTTAGTTAGTTAGTTAGTTAGTTAGTTAGTTAGTTAGTTAGTTAGTTAGTTAGTTAGTTAGTTAGTTAAGTTTGTTAGTTAGTTAGTTAGTTCGTTCGTTCGTTTAGTTAGTTCGTTATTCGTTAGTTCGTTCTTAGTTAGTTAGTTAGTTAGTTAGTTGTTAGTTCGTTAGTTAGTTAGTTCGTTGTTAGTTCGTTAGTTAGTTAGTTAGTTCGTTGTTGTCGTTTGTCGTTAGTTCAGTTCTAATTCAGTTCCAGTTCAGTCCTACTTCAGTTCTACTACTTTTCCGTTCTAGTTCAGTCCAAGCTCACTTCTAGTTCAGTTCCAGTTCAGTTCTAGTTCAGTTCTAGTTCAGTTCTAGTTCAGTTCTCTTTCAGTTCTAGTTCAGTTCTAGTTCAGTTCTAGTTCAGTTCTAGTTCAGTTCTAGTTCAGTTCTAGTTTTCTTCTAGTTCTTCTAGTTCAGTTCTAGTTCAGTTCTAGTTCAGTTTCTAGTCAGTTCTAGTTCAGTTCTCGTTCAGTTCTAGTTCATTTCTAGTTCTGTTCTAGTTCAGTTCTAGTTCAGTTCTAGTTCAGTTCTAGTTCAGTTCTAGTTCAGTTCTAGTTCAGTTCTAGTTCAGTTCTAGTTCAGTTCTAGTTCAGTTCTAGTTCAGTTCTAGTTCAGTTCTAGTTCAGTTCTAGTTCAGTTCTAGTTCAGTTCTAGTTCAGTTCTAGTTCAGTTCTAGTTCAGTTCTAGTTCAGTTCTAGTTCAGTTCTAGTTCAGTTCTAGTTCAGTTCTAGTTCAGTTCTAGTTCAGTTCTAGTTCAGTTCTAGTTCAGTTCTAGTTCAGTTCTAGTTCAGTTCTAGTTCAGTTCTAGTTCAGTTCTAGTTCAGTTCTAGTTCAGTTCTAGTTCAGTTCTAGT